AAGTCGTTGATAATGTTTTTCATCAAAGAAAGCCTAAAACTAAGTAGACAACCACTAAAAGACTTCAGCCTTATCACACTACCTGAAGAGCTTTGTCGGTCCTACTTGTTCTAAGTTGCTTCCAGTCCAAAGACAGCAGGAATAATGAAGCCCTCTCTGGATAGTTTGGTGGTACCAACACCAAAGCCCATAGAGTTGCTATATAACATGAAAGATAGTAAATATTACTTGGTAGAATGAGACTAAAATACTTTCTGGTAACTCAATGTAAAACAGTTTTATTAAAGTCTCAAAACTGCCACTGTTTAAAAAAAAATGAAGCCTTTCGTTTGATTCTAGAGTCAAACCTTTTTCAAATTATCTAAGGTACAAATTTTCAGTGCAGAATAGTTTCTTGTAAATCATGGCATGAAACCTAAAAATTCCCCAAAGAACAACAAAAACTTTAACAAGTGCCTCATCTATTCCTAAAACCACTTTATCGCTTATTGTACAAAATGATCACCAAGCATGTTCCCCCTCAACTATACCCTTAGTATGAAGGATGACCACTAATACGATCTTTATTCACAGAATTATACAATGTACTATCTGTGCTCTGTCCATCATGGGTATTAATATCCATAACGTGACAAGTTATCCTGGTATTACAAGGAATGACCCACTAACCTGATCCTCTCTCTACAACAGTTCTGAAGGACATCCACTCTTCTGATATAACTCCAAGTTCTAGTAACTCCATACAATCTTCTTTTTCCTTTATAAAAAGTGGTATTTTAGTAATACTTTATTACCATTACAGAGAAAGAAATCTCCATGACCTGTACACTGAAGTGTCAGAGAAGCTTGAAAAACAAACACTACTAACGGAATAGCAGAAATTGATTGAACCTCATTTTGTTTACTTATTTTATATTTACCTTGGTTTAAGAACTACCAAAAAAACATGGGTAATTATGTGGGTCTTTACCTTTTCTGTAATACAGTGGATAGGTTAACAGTGGTCAACATGAATGTGGGTCTTTACCTTTTCTGTAATACAGTGGTCAACATGAATGTGGGTCTTTACCTTTTCTGTTAACAGTGGTCAACATGAATGTGGGTCATTACCTTTTCTGTAATACAGTGGATAGGTTAACAGTGGTCAACATGAATGTGGGTCTTTACCTTTTCTGTAATACAGTGGATAGGTTAACAGTGGTCAACATGAATTGGATAGGTTAACAGTGGTCAACATGAATGTGGGTCTTTACCTTTATGTCACTCCACGGAATTTTACTCCACTCCTTCAGTTTAGCGATCACTTTATGTGGATAAAGAGCTGAAATCTCCGGTAAAACTGGAACATTCAACTGTTCTGAAGGACAAAAACATTTGTTTACTTATCATACTTTTAAATATTGGTGTAAAGATCTCCAAGTATATATATATATAAATTCAAAACCATTTAAAAAAACAACAAAAGTCGTAACGGAGATTGCCTGTGGTAATAGCATTGTGGATATCCCATCTCTCAGACAAAATTCAAAAAGCAGATGAGAAACCAGTTAACAGTCATGGAAAAATCAATAAGGTTACAGAGTTGAGTGCTTACATCCACAACGTCTTAACTCTTACTGTCTATCACTGTCTGCAAGGGTACAGAGTTGAGTGCTTACACCCACAATGTTTTAACTCTTACTGTCTATCACTGTCTGCAAGGGTACAGAGTTGAGTGCTTACATCCACAACATCTTAACTAATACTGCCTATCACTGTCTGCAGCCAGTTGTGGGAAGGCAGTTATGCTTAAAAAGATGTAATAAAGTTAAAAGTAGAAATAAGATAAAATTAAGAGACCCAAAAAATATATATTTCTACTAAACAATGCCCATCATCCTCCACCCTTAAAAGTTCTAAAAAATCCTTAAAGTAGAATAAATACCACCCATCATTTAGTTCTGAAGAAAGCATTTAAAAAGATTCAATAAAATGTTGTCAGGATTATTTGTATGTGCAAAACCTGTATTTATAGCTGTGTACAAAAATTCTCTCGCTACAGGCTTGGCGTCAACTTAAAAATTTACTCCAAATTAACTTCTAATACGTTTTGTGAATCTTCACAAAATTTTGTAAACTTTCAGTAAGAATTAAGAGACATTTGAAGACAAAAATATAATTTTTAATTACGTATTTTCACTGAAAATTTCATCATGAATATATGTCTGTTTTGAATTTCATGCAAAGCTGCATGAGGGTTATCTGCGCTAGCCATCTCTAATTTAGCAGTGAAATACTAGAGGGAAGGCAGCTAGTCACCACCAATTCTTGGGCTACCCTTTCACCAATGAATAGTGGGATTGACCATAATATTATAAAGCCCCCACGGCTGAAAGAGCGAGCGTGTTTGATGTGACGGGAATTCGAACCCGCGCCCCTCAGATTGCGAGTCGAGCGTCCTAACCACCTGCCCATGCCAGACCCTCATGAATATATGAAGTCAAATTGCTGACTGCCCAGAGTGCAAAGTGATTTTCATGTTAAGATTAAAAATACTTTTCTTTATCTGAAAATTCTCAAGTTCTATTTGCATAATCTCTAAAACCTCTCAAATAAATTTAAAACGTTTTTTTCAGTAAAACTTTATATTTTATCTGTTATTTTCTTTTCCCTAACTATAAAGATTGGTTAATTTGACTGACCTCATAACCACCAAAAAAAAAGAAAGTAATTTTAAATTACTTTTTTTTTCTAGAATGACTTTAAATTTTAACATGAAACTACATTCGTTTATCCTAAGCAGCTTTAAAGTTGTAACAGTATATATCTATCTATATTTTATTGTTTTATTGCTCTTTGAACTATTGACTACCACTATTCATGCCATTATAAGTTGTAAATCACTCTGGGAATGTGGAGCTCATGTAGTATAATACATCATTTGATAGATTAAAACCTTGGCTTTCTGTTGGTTGTAAATAATATAGTATTAAACGTCAGAAAGAACTATTGGTAATTTCTGAAAGAGAGGATCTGACAAGTGGATGTGGCAAGAGGGTTCTGTTTTATGGTTCTCTAACCATATAAGATTGAAAGCTATAAAAATTATGCTTTGCTCTAGGGATGAAAACATTATAATGAAAAATTTATGTTAAGTTTCATATCTCTTAGAGACGTGGGGAAAATTCGGGATTTATTTTCTAATATTGCCGTATAAAATTAAGAACTTAAAACTTACATAACATTAAAAGTTGGGTTATTTGGTACACCAAGTTTATTCACATACTGTGATAAGAAAGTAGTTTAATTAACTTTTGAATGTAAATCACTAAAACTCGTAACGTGCACAGAAAAAGAATCCTGTAGCAAAAGTGATAAACTCCTTGCTTTGATTTACTCAAACATGTATATCCGTTAACAACAGAAACATAACAAAAAGGTTTAATGGTTTACAGAAACATGCACACGACTTACCTAAAGACAGAAGCAACTTGTACAGGGACAGTCTAGCCGAGAGTCGAGACCTTATTGCTTTTATAGTCTGATCCATGTGCGAAGAGCTGGTAAAGTTGTTGACCTTAGGTGTCACATGGGGATAAACATCGTTAGGCACATACAGGAATTCTAGACCTGCAACTCTCTGGACCCAGTGATAAGGATATCCTGCCTCCTCTATGATTTGATGAATATCTTCAATCCTAGTACAACAATTATAACATCTTACTAACTTATATCGTGCTGATAAAGATGAATAAAGCTCCACCTCAGAATACATCCTAAAATACAATATAAAGTACTAGGAAATGAACTTTATTATATTATCAGGAAACCATATTATCTATAAAATAATACATAGATTACACAAGAACCACATACAACTCGATTGTTGAAAAATTATACTTAAATTATTTTGAAACCAAACAATGGTCAATTGTAGAAAATGATTTTTCTATATTATCCTGATACTATACGATAGTCACTTGAAGAAAATATTTAAAACTATCCAAAAATAATGTTTGGATTACCATAAACTGTATATAACTTAATCCTACAAAATAATGTTTGGATTACCATAAACTGTATACAGCTTAATCCTACAAACTAATGTTTCGATTACCATAAACTGTATACAGCTTAATCCTACAAAATAATGTTTGGATTACCATAAACTGTATACAGCTTAATCCTATAAACTAATTTTTGGATTACCATAAACTGTATACAGCTTAATCCTACAAAATAATGTTTGGATTACCATAAACTGTATACAGCTTAATCCTACAAAATAATGTCTGGATTACCATATACTGTATACAGCTTAATCCTACAAAATAATGTTTGGATTACCATAAACTGTATACAGCTTAATCCTACAAACTAATGTTTGGATTACCATAAACTGTATACAGCTTAATCCTACAAACTAATGTTTGGATTACCATAAACTGTATACAG